CCATAGCGAAGGGCTCACCAGCGGGGAAGGACGCGAGCGGTAGCCGCGGGCGCCGGCAGGCAACGTCGTATCGAGTGGAAATGCGTTCCCAGCGCATCGTGGAAGAAGGACCCGCTCCAGCGAAAAAGATCTGGACCACGGGTACTGCAGTATACTTCGTTCTGTCTGGTTCTGTCTAAGCCGTATCAAAACCAGCTAAAACGCCGGGTTCAATTCGATCAATTTGTATCCGTACGTTTTGTCCTGCCGTTTTCACTATTCTTGTTTACATTTTGGAATATTTCAATATAGAGCGCTGCGTAGAGAAGGAAAGAGAGAGAGAGAGGGGAAGATGAAGACTTAATTAAATTGTAGAATCACGGTCTAACTGTGCTCCGCCGGTGTTGTTATGATCGCATCGCGGCGTGTAGCCCGAGGAATCAATAAAGATAGTGATCGTGCATCGGGACCAGCAGCGCTGGGGGCTGCGGGCTGCGCGCGGGACTCGCGGGCGGGGGAACCAGTCCGTACTTCTCTCTCTAACGCATTTTGCTCTGTCTCAGTTTGAGAGCGGATTCTTTAAAAAATGCGAGCGAGAAAAAGAAAAAAAAGCGTATATAAAAGTCGTGGGCGGCGACTGAGGCAGAGGAAGAGAGACAGAGATGTGGCAAGGTTGGCGCGTTCGCCCGATTCATAAAAACGGTCATCAGATTGGCCAGGGATTTTAGTTTTGTTGTTGTGTTTTTACCAAACCCGTAATTTTCCCTTTTGTAAGCAAACCCTTTCGACTTGAACCAGGGGGGAAGCGGATGCTGCGGAGTGGGAATCAAAAAACACAGAGACAGATGATAATATTTACAACATGCCGGGCGGGTCGGCTGCCTCGCAAACGCGCCCCCGGAGAGATGCAAATGCGTCTGAAATGACCGGCCCGACCACGCCATGCAGCTGCTGCAGCCAAGGGGTCATTATTTTGAGGTGGACAAGCCGGGCGTGTACGTAAACACACACACACACATACACATACACACACACACACACACACACACACACACACACACACACACACACACACTCGCAGTGTGCAGTCTCAGTGCAGTGCCCCATCCGATCCCCACCCCGCCCCATACCCCCCTGAGGTTGTAAAAACGGACGGCGTGCATACGTGTTTCATTCATTGCTTCGGCCACGTTAATGAAAGTGCATCCAGCTTTTACACTGTTGGAAAATTCTATACAATTTAACAGACAGTTCGAAACATTCAATTGGTAACACAGTTTAAAAATGTTTAATCTTTGCTGTAAACTGTAGGGTGAGCAAACGAAATAACAATTTTAAACTGTTCAGAAACCAGCTCTGTTAAGATATGCAAAACTATCCCAGGAAAAAGGCGGAAATTTTCGCACAAAAAGTCGCAACATTCCGTATTTTAGGAACAAGTTATTTGAAACTTACACTGTTTTAGATTCCTGCAAAGTAATGCTTTGCAGAGCTGCAAACTATTTAGATCCTTTGTAACTACGAAGCATTTACTTTGCAATTATGAGTGATACTTTGCAATTGCTAAGCAATTAAACACGCTACAAAGCATTGCTTTGCAATTAAAAAGCATTTCTTTGTAATTGTAAATTACATACCTTCGTAGTTACAAAGGATCTAAATACACGCAGCTCTGCAAAGTATTGATTTTCAGCAATATGACAATGTATAAACAAATCGAGCTCTGTGTCGTAATTTGGCGGAATACGTTTTCTTTTCCACAACAGAGAAAGTAGTAGTGAGGGGCCTAAGTACTCGCG